GGGGTCCTAAGCCCCTGAAATGTGGCTAGTCTAACATGAGAGCAGTATAAACCCAGGATGCTGAAAACTAATACCAAATTAAAAGACAGGGGCAGCAGAATCATTTTACTTGTACACTATTTTGAAAATACTATGTTCAACTCTATCTAGCACAAATAATAAAAACCCAGAGATAGATATTGGGGTTCAAGCTGAAGATCAGAAAAACAAAGCAGCCAACCACTGGCTCTTACTTCCACCTCAGTCTGAGATGATTGAGATCTTGTCTCCACGAATCCTGAAGACCCCACGCTTCACTGAGTTCCTGTCTCTTCCCTTTTATATTCCTCTCTCTGGCCCGCCATATCACTCCTGTCTCCACCTCCCCAGTGCTGTGATTAAAGGCTTGTAATCCCAAGTGGTAAGATCACCTTTGTGTGAGCTCTTTTTGTATTTAGACAGATTCAGGCTTGTATAGCACCTGGTACCCTTGAACTAATGGATATTTTCTGCCTGTCTCCGGAGTCCTGGGATTAAAAGTGTGTGCCACCACTTCCTAGCCTGGATAGCTGACTAGTGTGACTGCTTTGTCCTATGATCTTCAGGCAAGTTTTATTTATTAAAACACAAATAATATACCACTATATTCAATCAAAATCTAAAATTGATTTTACCTGCTTTTTCTTGCAATTTTAATATAACTAATAGGAATTTTTAAGTTACATTTGTGGTTTTTATTTTAACTTGCTATTATATTGATAATGGAATATCAGTATTGGTCTAGAATAACTTGATAGAATTTTACTTTGTTAATGTCAGTCTGGATTTTGTTTATATAAATATAATTTGGAAAAGGATTAATAACCTACTAATAACAAGATCAGCAACTTTTTGTCTCATTTTAAATATCCTTAGGATGTCTCAAAATATATAGGCAGTGGTTAAAACAAATAGAAAGCATAGAATTTGATTTGGAAAAAAAAAACTCTGAGGTCTTTAAATTAAAATTTATTACCTGAGAGAATTATTTATCAAAAGGGTATGTTTGAAATAGAATATATAAATGGTGCTTGCATGAGAGTAAGTGAGCTGCCCTTCTCTGAGAACAGTGTGTTAGACTATGGTAATATCCATGAAGCATGGTACAGTGGCGCTCTCACACTCAGAGTCCAAGACAGACTTCTCTGAGGAAGAATCAGAGATCAGCTCAAAGATTTATCAGACTTGCTTTATCTCAGCTTTTATAGCTTCTCTTTCATATTAATGGTGCAAATAAGGCTTTAGGATTAACTGCAGCACAAATAATAAAAACCCAAAGACAGCTATTAGGGTTCAAGCTGAAGATCAGAAAAAGAAAAGCAGCCCAGCCACTAGAGAATTGTTACCTCTACCAAGGCTCAGAGGAACAAAGGGGTGACCCTGTCCTCAGTGTGACTGTAGACTGCAGTGCTCTCCACCAAGCCTCAGGCTTCACTGCTTGTCTCCTACTGCCTTATACAGTACACTTCTCTCCGCCCAATTATACCACTCCGGTCTCCACCTCCCTAGTGCTGGGATTAAAGGCGTGTGAGTCCCTTAGTTAAAGGCTTAAAGGCGGGGAACACTTTTGTGAGTTGTTCCTCTTTTTAGACAGATTCAATTTCAAGGTGGCCTTGAGTCCTGGGATTAAGGGTGTGTGCCACCACTCCCTGTCCTCTCAAGGTTTAGCTCTGCACTCTGATCTTCGGGCAGACTTTCTTTATTAAAACACAAATGAAATATCACTATAATTAAGTGTTCATTTAAATACGCAATGGAAGATATGTTTGTCTTTCAGATATAAAATAAGCACACTCTATATTATTTCAAAAGAAGAAATTATGATCTGAAATACTGCAAGTTTGAAGGTGGTTGATGGTAGCAGAGCAAAATGTGGCATTATAGTCTTCAGTTATATGTGCAGATGAGGGGCAAGGATTGCTAGGATAACTAAAGCTACGAAAAAACAAAAGGCTTATTTTACCTGTTGTTTCTTAAAATATATTCATCTGAAGTGTCTTAACCCAGTGACGTTTTGACTGGAATATGTTCTTGAGCTTTAATTCCCTTCTATGAGAGAATGAAAAGACAAATTTAGGAAAATAATGAAACATGTAAATTATGAAAAATCTTAATTCAAGAGAAGAATGGGCTGAATATATTTTTAGTGAAAATCTGAATTCCCCCTGTGAGAAACAATGATATTTAAATTGTAATAAGAATACTAGAAAATCCAAGTAGGGAAAGGAAAACTGATTTATTTTTGGTTCTGCAGAAGCTCAGTATCAGCCTGGAAAAAGGCAAAAATGGCTGGCATGATAAAGAAGTGGTTTTTATATTCCTGACCTCATTTCTCTGTCCCCCAAATCCTTCATTGGCTGAGTTCTTTGGGGGAGTAGAATCTTCGAGGTGTTCTAGATTACTCCCTCCCGAATTCCCAATTCTACTGGTATGGGACACAAAGTCTTATCTAATGTATAGCCCAGGCATGAGAGTCCCATCTCTGGTATGTGGACCTGTCATATAGCAGGCTGCCTGCACCACTCTAGGATGGACTGAGAGCACTGAGACAAGCAGACTGTAACTGCCAGCTAGGGAAGACCTTTCCTCCTGCTTCTCTCAGCTCTCTGAGGCTGCTAGATGCATCTCATACTGAAAACAGAACAAATGTTTATCTTGCCCCCCACAATGTTATATTTATTTATAATAGTTCATTTTCTCTGGAACATTCTTAACCCATAGGGAAATTTCAAGGAGAAAAATGTCTCCATTATTAAATGTGCAGTTTTCTAGCCCTTAAGATCATTAATTGTGCCTAATTCGAATATTTCTATCATTCATGTTCATTCACTATTTCTCAAACTATGTGGACATAGATAAGTCAGACCTTTCTAGAAATGGCTAAATGGAGATTGTCTGGTAGTGGAAACTTGTAGAGAGCCATTAAAAACCAAACTCAAAACTGAAATTTGAGTCGAGAAAATAAGCAGTTCTGCTTAAGAATCACAATTGCAAGCCGGGAGGTGGTGGCGCACGCCTTTAATCCAGCACTCCGGAGGCAGGCGGATCTCTGTGAGTTTGAGGCCAGCCTGGTCTACAAGAGCTAGTTCCAGGACAGGCTCCAAAGCCACAGAGAAACCCTGTCTCGAAAAGCCAAAAAAAAAAAAAAAAAAAAAAAAATTACAATTGCTTTTCTCTGTTCTTAAGAATAAGAAAAATAGCTTTTTTAGACCTTTTATTTTTAGAACCAGTGAGTTTGTTTAATTGTGTTTCTGGTCTAGTCCCCTAAAGTATACAATGAGTCTTTTGAATCTTTGTCAGTATTTATGGTGATTAATCCTTAACATATTTTCTCTACATGAACAGCAGTTACTTATTGGAATTGGCCTAATTTCTATTAAATAACCTTTTACAGAGGAGAGAATATGAATTAATGTGGCTTCCAATAATGGTGAAATTTAGATATGAATTACTTTTCTCAAATAGAGGTTAAGATTTAGGTCATGCTGTCTGTGTCTTATAAAACACCAAGACTACCTTCCTATTCTCCTGAGTTGTATCAGTACAAGGGCATTAACTGATAATTAGTGTGTCTATAACTTCTATGTAAAACCATAAGGTTTTATGTATTTATGATGTTGATAAATATACAGCATGTATATGACAGTTTCCCCTTAGTTATTGGGGAGTACTTTTATTAGAAATATTTGCATGCTATGAAAATGCACACCACTTCAAATTTTCTAGGTGAGTTGCCTATTTGAAAGCTTCATGGTTCCAGGCCAGCCTGGTCCACAAAGCAAGTTCCAGGACAGCCAGAGCTGTTACCCAGAGGAACCTTGTCTCGAAAAACCAAAACAAAAAAAGAAAGGAAGGAAGCCTCCTTGTGGTATTTATGAAAACATTTTTAATCTTTTAGCCTCTTACAGTAAGCATTTTCCTCCCTCTGACATTAATTCCTCCTTGAGGTTTTCACTTCTGTAGTAGTCTTAGGGTAAATGGAAGTACACACAATAATAAGCCCATCTAGATTTTTCTTAGGTAGTGTTGTAATAAGGAAGTAATTCAAAGCAGAAAACATCAGTTCTGCACATGACACTGAGCTACAAAACGGCCAATATTCCATTCACTTAGCTCTGTGTATCTGAGCACATCCACCCACACTATAGGAAAGACAAGATTTGTTCTCTCTCTCTCTCTCTCTCTCTTTCTCTCTCTAGTAGCATATGAGTAATAAAAAGTGAATAAATGTTGATAATTACTTCTATATGTGTAGAAATTTAGAAGCAAACTGTGAGAGGACTGTTTCAGTTGTATCTAGAGTTTAAAGGCCAAGCATGGCAAATCGAATTCATTCATTCTCCTGGTTTTGTAATTCACCACATCATTCCTTCCTCAATCACCAATTCTTACCTCTCTCCTTTCTCACCCTTACTTCCTATGTCCCTGAGAAAAAGGAATAATCAGAAAAAACTTAGAGACGCCACCTCCCTACAACACTGCATGAGTGCTAAATCAGTACCGGAAGTGTCTGCCCTTTCCCCTCTAAACTGAAGTGTTTCTAGCCCTGTCACTCTGCAATTTGTGCTTTAGGTCTCTTCCCTTCCCTGCTTGCTGATTGTGATTTAGCAACTATCTCCTCTCTCCTGCATCATCACTCATTTGAGTGAACTAGAAACCACCTTGTTAGACACAACTATGAGTTCTCTAGGATTCTGTTTTTAAGATTTATTTGTACTTTTGTTTATATGCCTGTGTGTGCACATAACATGCACAGCTTTGGGATTGACCTGACGGGAGCAACAGGGAATGAAGAAACAATCGATTCACTGTGGTAGCTTGAATGTATTTGGGCCCCTAAGCTCATAAGGAGTGGCATTAGGAGATGAGGCTTTGTTGGAGTAGGTATGGTCTCATTGGAGGAAGTGTTTCACTGTGGGGGTGGGCTTTGAGGTCTTATACATGCTCAAGCCAAGTCTCAAACCACTTCCTGTTGCTTGCAGGTCAAGACATAAGAACTGTCATCTCCTTCCCTAGCACCATGTCTGCCTGCATGCTGCCTTGCTTCTCACCATGACAATAATGAACTAAACCTCTGAACTGTAAGTGAGCCACCCCAATTAAATGTTTTCCTTTACAAGAGTTGCCATGATCTTGTTGTCTCTTCACAGCAATAGAAACCCCCACTAAGATACTGATAAACAACTGAGTCTCATGGATCATATATACAGCATCCCAGAAACTTGATGTGTTTATATGAACAAGGAGCATGTTTATTGTATACAGCTGACTGAGAAGTCAGGTTAGCTAATTTTGTTGCGGGGGGTGGTCTCTGTAAAGGAGTAGTCTCAAGTTGTATTCATCCTTGAGGAAGAAGTTGTGGTTGATACTTTCTGCACACACTGTCACCATCCATACTTGGACTAGGGGAAGGCCTAGAGCCTGAGCCAGGGAAACAGTTCTGATGCATTGGGCCTTGACATGGCCATGCTCATGTCAACAATACACATTCACTCCAGACTTTGTCTGCTCTCTACCCTGGCCCCTGTGTATGTTCTTGCGTGGGTGTGTACCCAAAGAAGCCAGAAGAGGACATCAGATGCTCTGGAACTGGAGTTATAAGCATTTGTGAGCCACTTTACATGGGTGCTGGAAACCAAACTCAGGTTCTCTGGAGGATCAGTAAGTTCTCTGTACTGCTAAGCCAGCTATTTAGAGTCAATTTTTGTTTTTAACTGTGTGACTGTAGTGTGGGGGGGGGGGGGGGGGGGGGTCAGGGTACTTATGTGCACATGGTTGAAATTTTCTTTGGGCCGCCAACCAGCTCCCACATAAAGACACAGAAACTTATTATTAATTATGAATGGTTTGGCCTTACTCTAGCTTTGTTTCTAGCAAGGTTTTTTTTTTAACTTAAATTAACCCATTTCGGAAAGACCTCCCTTGCTCTTGGATTGGGAGGACCAACATAGTAAAAATGGCAATTCTACCAAAAGCAATCTATAGATTCAATGCAATCCCCATCAAAATCCCATCAAAATTCTTCACAGATCTGGAGAAGACAATAATCAACTTTATATGGAAAAACAAAAAACCCAGGATAGCCAAAACAATCTTATACAATAAAGGTTTGTCTGGAGGCATTACCATCCCTGACTTCAAACTCTATTACAGAGCTACAGTATTGAAAACAGCTTGGTATTGGCATAAAAACAGAGAAGTCGACCAATGGAATCGAATAGAAGACCCTGACATTAACCCACAAACCTATGAACACCTGATCTTCGATAAAGGAGCTAAAAGTATACAATGGAAAAAAGAGAGCATCTTCAACAAATGGTGCTGGCAAAACTGGATGTCAATCTGTAGAAGAATGAAAATTGATCCATATCTATCACCATGCACAAAACTCAAATCCAAATGGATTAAAGACCTCAATATCAGTCTGAACACACTGAACCTGATAGAAGAGAAAGTGGGAAGTACTCTACAGCACATGGGCACAGGAGACCACTTCCTATGTATAACCCCAGCAGCACAGACACTAAGGGCATCATTGAATAAATGGGACTTCCTGAGGCTGAGAAGCTTCTGTAAAGCAAAGGACACTGTCACTAAGACAAAAAGACAACCCACTGACTGGGAGAAGATCTTCACCAACCCTGCAACTGACAAAGGTTTGATCTCCAAAATATATAAAGAACTCAAGAAACTAGACCATAAAAGGCTAATCAACCCAATTATAAAATGGGGCACTGATCTGAACAGAGAATTCTCAACAGAAGAACTTCAAATGGCCAAAAGACACTTAAGGTCATGCTCAACTTCCTTAGCGGTCAGGGAAATGCAAATCAAGACAACTTTAAGATACCACCTTACACCTGTCAGAATGGCTAAAATAAAAAACACCAATGATAGCCTTTGCTGGAGAGGTTGTGGAGAAAGGGGTACACTCACCCATTGCTGGTGGGAATGCAAACTTGTGCAACCACTCTGGAAAGCAGTGTTTCGGTTTCTCAGGAAATTCGGGATCAACCTACCCCTGGATCCAGCAATACCACTCTTGGGAATATACCCAAGAGAGGCCCTATCATACAACAAAAGTATATGCTCAACTATGTTCATGGCAGTATTGTTTGTAATAGCCAGAACCTGGAAACAACCTAGATGCCCTTCAACGGAAGAATGGATGAAGAAAGTATGGAATATATACATATTAGAGTATTACTCAGCAGTAAAAAACAAGGACTTCTTGAATTTTGCATACAAATGGATGGAAATAGAAAACACTATCCTGAGTGAGGTAAGCCAGACCCAAAAAGAGGAACATGGGATGTACTCACTCATATTTGGTTTCTAGCCATAAATAAAGGACATTGAGCCTATAATTCATGTTCCTAGAGAAGCTAAATAAGGTGAATCCAAAGACAAACACATAGGCATCCTCAGGAATATTAACCTTCATCAGGCGATGAAAGGAGACAGAGACAGAGACCCACACGGGAGCACCGGACAGAAATCTCAAGGTCCAAATCAGGAGCAGAAGGAGACGGAGCACGAGCAAGGAACTCAGGACCACGAGGGGTGCACCCACACACTAAGACAATGGGGATGTTCTATTGGGATCTCACCAAGGCCAGCTGGCCTAGGTCTGAAAAAGCATGGGATAAATCCGGACTAGCTGAACATAGCGGACAATGAGGACTACTGAGAATTCAAGAACAATTGCAGTGGGTTTTTGATCCTACTGCACGTACTGGCTTTGTGGGAGCCTAGGCAGTTTGAATGCTCACCTTACGAGACCTCGATAGAGGTGGGCAGTCCTTGGGCTTCCCACAGGTCAGGGAACCCTGATTGCTCTTCGAGCAGATGAGGGGGGGGGGACTTGATCGGGGGAGGGGGAGGGAAATGGGAAGCGGTTGTGGGGACGAGGCAGAAATCCTTAATAAATAAATATATTTAAAAAATAAAAAAAAATAAAAAAAAATCTATAAAGGAGAAAAAAAAATTAACCCATTTCTATTCATCTATGTACTGCCCTGAGACTCGCTTACCTCATCTGCATACTGTCCACACTGCTTTCCTGCTTCCTTCATGTCTACCTGGCTGGCTCGCTGGCTCCCCTTTTTTCTCTGCTAGCCAGCCCCCCCCATCCCTCCTCTGCTTAATTTTTGGCCATTAAGCTTTTTATTAGACCAATCAGATGCCTTAGGCAGGCAAAGTGAAACAACAACAATATCTTTATATAGTTAATCAAATGCAGCATAAACAAAAGCAATACATCCTTACATAATTAAGCAAAGACAGCACATCTACATAGTTAAACAGTTATTCTGCAACACAGACAAATGTAACACACCTTTACTTCCTTAAACAAATTTTCTGTTCCACAGCAAGTGCAGGTGCCTGAGGAAGACATGCTGGATGTTGTAAGGGATTCTGAACTGCCCATTGTGGGTACTAGGAACCAAACTCAGATCTTCTGCAAGAGTAGTGTGCACTCAACCACTAAGCCATCTCTCCAGCTCCAGTTACCTGGGATTCTTACAGTAGCCTATCTGGTTTCCTTTCAGTGCCCTTCACCTTTGATATATTTTCATCATAACAGTCAGAATGATATTGTTAGTATTTAAGACTGTCATTTCACCTTTCTGCTCAGAACCCTCCAAAGGCCTCATACTTACTGAGTATAAAAGTTCAAGGCCTAACAAAACCTTGCTTGGTCTTCCCTGACCTCTTTCCCTAACATTATATGCTGTGTTCCTTGGTTCTTCCTGCACCAACCAAACCAGCTTCTTTATTTTTTTCTTGAATACCCATGTATACTCCTAATATTTGACCAGATTTTCATGTCTTCTTCCTTATGTTCAGTATCCCTCAAATATCACCTAATTAATGAAGTCCTTGCTGCCTGCCACCTCTAATTCCTGAAAGTATAGCTCACTGTAAATACACTTGCCCAGCATACAGGAAGGAACTGGATTCTGTCTCTTGTGAGACTTGGGGGAGAAATTATTTTCCTCTTCTCCCTCCTCTGTTTTCTCTTGTTATCATAATCTACATCCTATAAAATACAACACATTTTTACTTATGAATCGTTTGTAGTCTGTCTCATCTGCTCTAAGATCTATGAGCAGTTTGGGATATTCACCCCTTTGTACCTCACTCACAGGTTACTAGTACATTCCTGGAAGGTAGCAAGTAGTCTATAAACACTGTTGAAGAAGAACTCTTTATGAGGGTATGACTAGGAAATGACTTGGGAAAAGAAATACAAATTGAATTTGTTTTTATCTTTTCTCACCAATTCTGTTTCATAGAATTCATGTCTTCAAGCCAGGCGGTGGTGGCGCACGCCTTTAATCCCAGCACTTGGGAGGCAGAGTCAGGTGGATCTCTGTGAGTTCGAGACCAGCCTGGTCTACAAGAGCTAGTTCCAGGACAGGCTCCAAAACCACAGAGAAACCCTGTCTTGAAAAACCAAAAAAAAAAAAAAAAGAATTCATGTGTTCAGCTTCAAATGACCTAACCTAAGCATTCCCTTGTCTAGGAACTATGGATGTCTTCTCCTATATAATTTAAGAGAAATGCACAATGAAAGAATTATGTACCTCAGGCCTGGCTAGATGCCTCAGTTGGTAAAGAAAGGCACTGCCACCAAACCCAAGCCTTGGAACTTACATGAAGAAAGAAAAGAACCATCATGTACACACGTGTTTCTCTGATCACCACATGCTCATGGAATGTGTAGGCCCACACATAAATAAATGGTTTTGTCTGTTTGTTTCTTCTTGTTGAGATTATAGTTATAACATTTCTCCCTGCCCTTTCGTACCTGCAAACCTCATATACCCCTCCTTGTTTACTTTCAAATTCATAATCTGTTATTACATGCATATATGTGTGTGTGTATATACACATTTCTACTTACTCTAATCTTCTCAGTCCACATAGTGTTACACGTATGTTGTCAGCGATGATCATTTGGTGTTGTGTGCTCTTCCAGTTTTCTCACTCTCAGCATTCCTTATTTGCCTTAGTGTAGGGTTGAGGCCTCAGGAACTTCTCCCCATCCGCTTTGGCATGTCTATTGGTGTTGTCC